GACGAATACAAGAATGATCTGGACAAGATCGTCTCTATTGTTTTGTCACATTCCAAAGTTGAGGCAAAGAATAATCTGATATTACATATTTTAGATCAGATTAGGCCCGCAAATGTTTGACAAATTCTATTCACCGATTTTGAAAAAAATTGGCGGAACTTGGAAGACGTTTCACAACCAAAGTTGCATTGAAGGCGCGTGAATTGTTGATTTATTGTCAAACTTAACTTCTTACGAAGAAAGGTATGCTTAAATGGAACAAATATTAAAGGCTTCAGTTATAGAGTGTAGATGATGGTTATGATTACCGAACCCCAAGTTATGATTCTCTCAAAAATTAATTGATACGCGATTTGCTGTTTTCGATGTTCTTCCGAATTTTTTTTTATCATCAAGATAGTTGGGTTAGGCTTGCCGCATTAGAAGTTTACGCCCGACGCGCTTATCATGCCTATCAACTTATAAACGTTGAATACCACACAGATCAAACCCCATTGGAACTTCTCGTTTCATATTGCTATGATTGATAGTCCAATTGGTTCGATCGAAAGTCCCTCGTTTAATAGTATGAGACGTTCAGCTTCAATATCAGATTTAAGTTATTTGATTCTGAAAGCATAGACTTAACCACTTCGTATTTGCGTCATGATTTCCTGCACTTTGAATAAAGAAACAGAAAGAAATATACCACGAATTTAAAACTTTTTCCAAAAATACAAACTGTTCAAGGATGGAAATTTCAGGATCCATCAGATAGAAAAAATATAAATAATGTTTTGAACATCGCTTTAAGGTTGGAAGATGATGCTATAGAGGATGAAGCTTTGAAAAAATAACTCAAACCCCTTATACAACGATATTCTTATAATTACGTGAACATTGCCTTATTTTATAAAGGTCAATATCTAGGGCATTTCAGAAGGTGAACAAGCTGGATTCTTAAATCAATTAGTCGACAGGGTTCAATGTATTTGCAACCAACCCACACACCTTACCCAACAAAAGAATGGTTTCAACCAAGGCGTTATAAGGATTTTCCCGAATTATTTGGCCAAGCTATTAGAATACTATGGAATTGTGCATATCATAGTCCAAACATTAAATGTCCTTGCGATGTTTTGGAAGCCAAAGAACTTGTGCTTGACGAGAATAATAATTTACAAGAAGTGGAAAGAGCTTCGGGAACGAATTCATTAGGTATGGTTGCATGGATCTTTACTCTTTTTACCCCCGAATATCCAAAGGTAGAAAGATTATCGTGATTGCAAATGATATCACATATCACATTGGATCTTTTGGTCCTTCAAAGATCAATTTTTCTACAAAGCAACCGAATTGGCAAGATCATTGGGAATACCTAAAGCATACTTGTCAGCAAATTCTGGTGCAAGAATTGTATTGGAGGAAGAAATTATGAATAATTTTAACGTTGTATGGATTGATAAAGGAAATCCAAGCAAAGGTATTAAATATCTTTATCTTGATTCAGAGACATATAAGCAATTACATCAAAATGGAAGGAAATCCGTTATCGCGGAAGAAATTGTTGAGGAAGGAGAAACACGACATAAAATCACCGATATTATTGGATCAAAAGATGGGAAAAGTGTTGAATGTTTGAAGGGCTCGGGATTAATCGCCGGAATAACATCACGAGCATATGAGAACGGTTTCACAAAAACGTTAGTTACTTGTCGTTAAGTCGGTATGTATTCATTACAAGTCTAATTTTTAAAAACTTTTTCTCTTTAATAACTTTTATTTTTATTAAGGTATTGGAGCTTACTTAGTAAGGTTGGGATAGCGTACAATTCATGCACCAGCGTTGAATAAAGAGTTGGGAAGAGAAGTTTATACAGGAAATCTATAACTTGGAGGCACGCAAATTATGTTTAAGAATAGAGTTTCACATCTGACTGTACAAAATGATTTGGAGGGTTTTACAAAGATTACGCAATGTCTTTCTTACGTTCCAGCCGTCCGAAATTCTCCTGTATAAATATTTATAAATTCAGATACTTGGATGTTTGTTATATGCCTCCTAAAGGGCCTTACAATTCAAGATGGTTAATTGCGGGTAAATATGAGATTGAGAGATATCCCAACAGTTAGATTAGTGGATTCTTTGATAAAGGTTCCTTTGTTGAAACTTTAAGTGGATGGCGAGGACCGTTGTAGTTGGACGAGCACGTCTTAGTGGAATTGTCGAAAGTATAGTTCCGGCTGATCCAGCTAATGCAGATTCTCATCAACAGCTGATGATCGAAGCCGGACAAGTTTAGTACCCTAATTCAGCCTACAAGACTGCTCAAACGATTAATGATTTAACAAAGGCGAACAATTACCCTTAATGATTTTGCTAATTGGCGTGGATTTTCAGGTGGTCAAAGGGCATGTTTCAAGAGATTCTAAATATGTTCCTTATATCGTGGATGCACTTACCATCTACAAGCAGCCTATTTGTTTATATAGTTCCTAATGGGGAACTTCGGGTGGTCTTGGGTTGTAATAGATCCATAGATCCTACCATTAACGATGAAATGATGGAAATGTACGCCGATGAAAAATCAAGAGCTGGTGTACTTGAACCCGAAGGAATTGTAGAAATCAAATTCAGAAAGCCACAATTGCTCGCAACAATAGAAAGGTTAGATAAAATGTACCGTAATCTTAAGAAATCATTAAATGAATCGCAAAATGAGAAATTAAATTACATTGGATGCAAGGGAACAAGCATTATTACCGATATATTCACGAATAGCGATTCAATTTGCAGAATTACATGATACACCAGGAAGAATGAAATCCAAAGAAACGATAAGAAAATCGTTAGAATGGAAGAAATCTAGAAGATTC